CTAATGTGATCTTCGGCCTTCCTCTTGACCACATCGCCTACGTACAGCGCGCGGTCCAGCAGCTGAAGCTTTGCTTCTGGTATGAGCTCCGTCTTGTACTGGGTCTGCCATGACACTAGGACGGTACCCCGCGGTGGGATACCGTCTTTCATGAACTTCCAAAAATCTTCCCTAGGGATATCGGTGTGGCGTTCGATGTCGTCGGGGTAGTCGCGCTGTGGCCGGGGCTCGTGCGAGTCGACATCGCCAAAAGACCTCTCTATGATGCCGACGCTGTACTTGTCGTCCTTAAGCCCCACGGTATCCTCGACACAGAAGACGACATCCTGCGCGCTTTGCATTTGGCGTGCTGAGGTATGCGGTAGTGTGATTTCTCCCACTTGTGCAGTGTCGACTGGATTTTGCGGTACTGAAAAGGTATTGGAGGCGGTGAAGAAAGGCACGAGGTGATTCGAGGGTAGCGTTCGCGGCGAAATCGGTCGTGTTGGTGCAGCTTCGTCGTCGCCGGTCGAGAGGTCTGTGAGAAAACGATTCTGGAACAGCTCAGCAAGGAAGCGCTCGACTGCGTTAGGTTGCTGTGGTCTATTTGCGTCGTCTTCCGCGCTATTGGGGTTGTCTGTGTGGGAGTGGCCGCGATCCATGAGTCCTGCGGTTCCAATGTTGCGGTAGCGGCCGCATGTGAAGTGCAAAGGGCGCTAAGGCGACAGGGGTCAGCCTCGTGGCACCTCCGCCCGCAACTCGACACCAGGGCAGCCACCCCACGCAGCCCTCGACACGCAATTGAACAGCTGCACGCGTCATTGGACGAGTGAAACGCGACAACATGGCGGATCCCCTCTACGAACTACTGATACCCTATTTCGACGCCCAAGACGCGCAGCTACGGCCTTCCCCCAATGACGCCGTTACCAACACGTACCTCTCCCGCCTCACGACCCTGCCCTTGGCTGCCCTCACATCCTCCGAGCAGCAATCGCTATCACAAAGCTCGCAGTCTATACTACGATCACTGCAAGCTCTATCGAAGAGGTCGCATAAACCCATAATATCCTCGACCGACCACCTCCTACACCTCCGCAAGACACTCCCGCAGATAGGCCAAGATGCAGGCACGGTACAGGCGGAGATGCCGAATCTGGAAACAGCTGCACAGAACTTCTCCGAGAAATACAGCAGAGGGGCAGATAATGCGATACTAGACAGACGGAGAAAGGCAATGTTGCTGTCCCGGAACATTGACCGCGTATCCGACGTGCTCGACCTACCCACCCTTCTCTCGTCCGCCATCAGCTCCTCTACAGCCGCCGCACAAGCCTCGTCATCCACGGCCACCGCTAACGCGAATTATGCCTCGGCTCTCGACCTCCACGCACATATCAAGCGCCTCCATACGCTATACCCAAACTCCGAGCTGGTCTCATCGCTCACTGCCCAGGCTGAGCAGGAGATGAAGACCATGACCACCAACCTCATAAGCTCTCTCCAGACTCAAGGCATTAAGCTGGCAGGCGCCATGCGAACAATCGGGTGGCTTAGGCGCGTGGCACCAGAACTGGACGAAGCATGGTCAACAAAACAAGCCGGCATAGGCAGCGGGGAAGGTACATTAGGTGCATTGTTCCTCGTATGCCGCTTAGTCTGCCTGGAGCTGATGCTCAGCGCATTAGACCCTCTGCGGGAACTTGCAGACCAAGAGACAGAAAAGCGAACAACCAAGGCAGCGAAAGGCGACGCTGGCTGGGCCGTGGGTCAGCAAACAGAAAAGTACTTGAAGAAGTATCTTGAAGTCTTCCGAGAACAAAGCTTCGCTATCATATCCATGTATAAGAGCATCTTCCCCTCCGCCCTACCAGCACCAGGGTCCGACGAGAGCGCGCCAGCTGTAAAGCCAGTCAACACATCCAATCCTTTACAACCGATACCATCGGCCCTCGCAACGTTTCCGCTACACCTAGTAGAGATGCTCTTCGACACCCTGCGAACATACCTTCCAAACGTACAAGATCGGTCGCAACGGGACTCGCTCCTCACACAGGTCTTATACTGTGCTGGTTCGCTGGGTAGACTGGGTGGCGATTTCAGCATGATGATTGCGCTGTTGGAAGAAGACTTGCGGGCGGAACTGGAGGAAGCCACAGATGATACGGAAGACCAAGAGGTCGAGGAAGAGTGGGTAGAGGTCATGAAGAAGCACCGTGTCCAGGCATCAAGACTTGAGCTACTGGCTTCTGGTGTCGGCTCGGGGAGGACAAGTAGTCCTGTAGACCGAGCAGCGAGCCCAATGAGATAGAGCTTTCCCTATACTTTGGTCTCAATACACACCAGATGTCTACACGGTCTTTTGTCCTATCGGCACATCGACGTGAAGATCCGCGAACATCTCCTGGGTGCATTTATCGGAAACCTTTCCATGAGCGCAAGTCCCGTCGTATTTGCCTAGCAGACGCACATGCCGTGCACCTCTTGGAGCTTCGCCGACCGATTAGGCCTAGCGTACCTGCATCTGGGTCACTCCTTCCCAAGGAAGCCGGCCAGGGAGCTGCGCCATCCTTACATACAACACCGCGACTACCTCCTAGATTCATCATCAGACGTAGTTTGAGTGTGCAATGGCGTTTGTATCCTTCTGGCGTGCGCACACTCTGCTATGGTATCCAAGGATAAGCCGCACCTTGAGAGGTTCTTTCCAATCGAACTCGACTATGGAACTATGCCTTTCTCAGGGAAGGACCAGCGAGTACCCCCAGGCTACATTCCTAGGTCTCGGGGGAGGGTACAAATACCTTTGTATCCTCCTGGCGTAAGTGCTCTCCTCAGACATGTGCGGGATCATGCCGGATCTTGATATGGACTTTCAGATGGAAGAGCCACTGGATTGACGATGCTTCCTATCCACGGGCACCATCGAATACCTCCCAGCTACGTCTTCAGGTCTGGTTCAAGCTTGTAACCCTGTCTGTATCCTCCTGGCGTGATCATCTTGCGCTGCACAGCCAGAGATATGGCGTATGCTACAAGGCCCTTGCCGTCGACATTGATAGTAGGCTTATGCTATGCTCCGTAGGAAGGACCACGTATATCTCAAGATACCTTTTCCCACTTAGCTCTACATTCCAATCCACTGTTGTAGCCTCCACGGGGTAGTATGCCGCACCGAACTGCTAGGAGGTAGATCGATGTATCCATAGAACGAGCCCTATTGCTGGTTGTGAAACTGAGTTGATTGAACACGATTGGGGGCCTGGTGCAACACGGCGTAATTTCGCGTATTGCGAAACTTATGATGGAGCTGATATACGAAATCCTATTTCCTCTCACTCTCATTCAACCACTTATACACGACCCTCGCGTCCTTCCCTTGATACCTCTCATCCCGCATAGCCTCACTAAAAGCCTCCAACGTAGGCTTATCGAGTATAGTACGCGCGCCCACCATCTCCGCAAGCTGACTCCCCATACCCAAAACCTTTGCACAAAGCTCGATGCGGAACCCGCCTTCGTACCCTCGCGAACTCGGCACATTGGCTTGTACACCCGGTACTGGATTGCTCTTACTCGTGACCCAGCATTGACCGCCGGAAACGTTGATTACATCCGTAAGCAGTGCAACGTCTAGCCCCATTTTCGAGCCGATGTTCAGGGCTTCAGATGCGGCAAGCGATGTAATGGCACTGAGGTAGTTGTTGATGACCTTGAACGCTGTACCTGCGCCGATATCGCCGCAGAGAAATATCGCATCTGGTTTGCCCATGTGGCTCAGATAGCTCTTCACGGTAGGGAAGATGTCCTTGTTGTTCGCGCCTGCCATGAACGCCAACGTACCGTCCTGCGCACCCATAGGTCCACCCGATACCGGCGCATCAACAAAAGTCAGCATCTTGCTTGCACTGGAGTTCTCCACTGCTTTCGCAACCTCCAAGATGGTAGCTGTTTCGATGGTACCGCATTCCATGATCAGCTTTCCCTCTCTACCTTTTGGTAGTTTCTCCGCACCGGCCAGAACTCCTGTCTCTTTATCGAGATACACCTTCTTTACGGCATTCGAATCTGGAAGCATTGTTATGACGGTGTCGGCTTTTTGTACGGCGTCGTATCCGTTCTTTACTACTTCCACTGGACCCTGGCCTGATGCATCTGATTGAAACTTTTCGAGCGCGGAGGTGGACACGTCGGCAATTAGGAGAGTATGAGAAGAGTCGAGGCCTTTTCGAAGATTGAGGGCCATGGGATAGCCCATTACGCCAAGGCCTGCGAACCGTAAGTATGAGGAGTGATAGGGTTAGCTAGGTAGTAAGGAACGCACCGATGAAGGCCACAGTCGTGCTTGGTGACGACATCGTATTGAGAATGCGACCGTGTCAGTACCTTCTTCTCGATTAATGTTTCCTTCTCTTTGGATTTATGGGAGTACTTTCGCAATCGTAGTCTCAGCTTGCTATCGTGAGGCGTCAATTGGCAGGAGCCATGGTCAGTAGCGCGATGTTTCCTACGGGATTGCAGTCGCGACGGACTCACCAACATCTTTCCCCGCACACCACCTCGCATCTTGACTACCTACCACCAAACAACATCTCCATGCTCAAAGGTCCCCTCGTACCAAGCCGCGTCGTGCTTCCCCAAGCCCAGCCCCGCATCTCACCCCGCATTGGGGAACCACACATGGCTTCTCCACCTCCGCAACGTTCGCAGATCGGCAATCCGGCTAATACTCTACACCCTGCCACCGACGTCGATATGCAGCCTTTCTGTGTCACTCACTCTTCAGGCGTCCTGCGTATGGAAGCGAATGATGGAGGATTTATCGAAGTTGGAGAAGCACCTAGGGCTAGACGATGGACACGAGTAATGAGCGCAGGAAGGCGCATGGCGTACATACATACCGGACACACGCGATTCTATCGAGAATGCATAACAAACAAGACTACTTGATCTTTGAGTTCGGATAAGCTATCGTGAAGCCATCCGCTCCTGTTTCCTTCGCTTCTTGACATCTTTCGGCAATGGCAACGCCAGGCCTGCAACGCTCGCTGACCGACGAGAAACACGAACAAGTGCAGCGCGAATACCTTGCGCAAGATGAAATTCCGGAGATCATCGAGAACAAGAAGAAAGAAGATGCGTTGCGACGGAAGCTGGATTGCTTCGTTGCGCCGGTCATGATGATGCTGATGCTCATCAGCTATCTGGATCGCGGTAACATTGGGTTTGCTGCGACGCAGGGTATGACGACGGATATTGGACTGAAGGGGAGCGAGCTGAATGTACGCTAAGACCGTCAAATCGATTATTGGCCAATGCGAGGCTAATCAAAGTTTAGACTGCTGTATCGGTATTCTACATCTTCTACATTCTTGCCGAAGTACGTGTGTTCGCCAGTTGCAACTCTCAATATCTGACGGCGAACAGTTCCCCACCTCACTGCTAGTCAAGCGTCTCCAGTTCAACCGAGTGATTCCAACAATTACTTTCTGCTGGGGCATCACATGTCTTTGTACGGGCTTTGTGCAGAACTTCGCTGGCCTGGTTACGACGCGCATCTTCCTCGGCTTCTTCGAAGGCTGCCTGTTCCCAGCGATGACACTTTTCTTGTGTAACTGGTATACTCGGGAAGAGCTGGGTATCCGCATCGCATATCTATTCATCGCGTCGGCGTTGTCGGGAGCCTTTGGTGGCCTCATCGCATTCGGCATCTTGTACATGAACGGAGTTGTTGGGTGGTCGGGGTGGCGATGGTAGGCTGCAGCTTTCGCACACTTGATTAGCACTAATGCATACACAGGCTTTACGTTATCGAGGGTATCATCACCATTATATGGGCAGCCTGTTGCATCTTCCTGGTCCCCAAATCCTTCGAAACCGCCTACTTCCTCAATGACGACGAGAAGGCTCTCATGCGCCAGCGCGCACATAGAACACAGGCTTACTCCGATTCTGAGGGCTCCGGTCATTATGGAAAGGCTGATATCAGAGAAGCAGCGAAGGACATCAAGAGTTGGGTGCATGGTGTGATTCAGATCGCTGTCGTGACGATTCTGTATGGTTTTGGAACCTTCTTACCCATCATCATCCGCAACGGGTTCAACTTCTCCACCAAACAGGTACTAATAGCCACTTGCGGATTTAAATACGCTGCTGACGCGCACAGGCACAATATCTCGTCATTCCCGTCAACATCTGGGGCGCTATCGTCTATGCAATCGGCGCATACCTGTCCGACCGGTATCAAACGCGCTTCCTGCCCCTGATCCTCATGGCGCCTGTAGGCATCGCCGGCTACGCCATCCTCCTCTCTCCAGTCAGCCCATACGTCCAATACTTCGCCACATACCTCATCGCAACAGCCTGCTTCCTCTGCACCGGTGGAAACATAACCTGGCTATCTGCGAACTGTGCACCTGATGGCAAACGCGCAGCTTCTTTGGGCATCTTGCTCACACTCACCAATATTGGTGGTGTGGTATCTGGTCAGATCTATCAGAGCAATGCGGCGCCGAAGTATACTTTGGGCCATGCGTGGAGTTTGGGCTGCTTAGCTTTTGCATGGTGCGGATGGTGGATTGTTAGGGCGATATATAGAAGGAGGGAGAAGAGGAAGGATGTCAAACTTGCCCAAGGGTATACTATGCCTGCTGGCAAGCAGTACACGGATCGTGAACCGGATTTTAGGTATCAGATATAGCTGTGCAGTCGTTCGAGGCATACGAAGAGCCCACAAATGTCACATAAATAGACTTCGAGCTAGAGGATGTCGCGTGACTTTCAAATTTCCGGTGTCAGTGCAAGGTGTAGCGTGATGCGCTTCAAGATCTCTACGGACAATGTAAATAATGCCACGGGGTAGCGTGATGTATCTCATGAGTTTCACGGAGGGCGCAGAGAATGTCCAGAAGCCTTGAAGTATACCAGGCTCCTATGTAACAACGACGTGTGACGGATTTTACAACTCCCGGGTAACTACACGTAGCCCAGCTGATTCAATTCCAGGAACTATGATGTTAAACTATCCTCATAATACTGCTCGATGAATTTGATGTGGTCCGCCTATTCCAGAACGATGTGATGCTCGCTGAGGTCGCTCTGGATGAATTGTTCCATGAGCTCGCCGTTCATTACACCATGGATGTAACAATCGCTTACGAGCTTGTGCTGGCCTTCTCTTGCTGGTGTGAGGAGGAAAGGAACAGTTGCCCCAAAGATGATGCAGCATACATCGCCAATTTCGACCAGATCACCCAGCGGAGCTATTCCGATACGCCCATCCCTAGTCAGAAACATGCTTGCATTGTGGACATTGTAAACGCTCTTTTTGACAGATATTGCATCTTGTCTCTCGTCTACCTCCATCACAGCCTCCTGATCACTTGGTCTGGTCACACTGATACTCTTTCTATATGCATCAATGATGCCTTGCTGTCTCTCGTCGGAAATGGAGGAGAAGCTACTGTTTACTCGGTAACCGATCATCAAGGTGCGGAAAAAGTCGGCATATCGTACTGCGATGCCCAATCGTGACGAGCTTCGCACCACATCATCCCATGACGTGTCGATGAATACTCCATGAAATCCGCTAGTTGATACATAAGTGGGAGTGTTCTCCGCACGGTCGTTTTGTATCGTAGACGACCTCCAGATGACGGTGTCGAAGGTGCAAGCGCCAGCTATCACACCATTCCTGCCATACTGAGTGACTGTAAAGAGTTCTCTGTTACCCCCGGCTTGGAACCAATAGTTTGGATCTGCCATTTTAAGGCGAAGTTTACCAGCAACATGCCATATCGGTAGCCAAGAAGGATGCATGTCGCCCATAAGTCTTTCTCTACTGTTGTGAGTGACAGCCGAAAGAACGAACGGCGCTTCTGCGGATTCCCCCATCAGTGCATAGGCGAGACGAAGATTGAGATCGTCTATCGAAGAAGTGTAGTCTGCCTCCACGAACGTGCGGCCTGCACTGGCAATCGCGGCTGAACAGCCCAAGAATGCGTAAACATGGTCTCTGGGATCGCTTGCTTCCAGGGGCCGGGCTTCCATAAGGAGCTCCCAAAAGGGCTTCTCTTTGAAGAAAGTGGTGGCTAAGTAAGCCAATCCGCTGCGGGATTGCTGCCATCGTTCCGGCTGATGGATATTGTAGTAGAGATAAAGAGCTATGCGTCCTGAAAGAAGATTCGGGTAGTACCCAACGATACCCCAGAGGACATCCCGGAAGTCTTGTTTTACATCTATCCACGTTGCTAATTCCAATAGATCGGCAATATCAATGCTGGCTGAGCCCCAATAAACGCGACATTCCTCAGCGATGGCGGATTCCTGAACAGTCCATACTCTTCTAAACCAAGGTAAATCGAAGAGGCTCACGACCCTTGACCATCTTTCTCTGTACATGGGAATAGGGTACGGTTTCGTAAAGGGTGCCATTCTGACTGTCTTTTGGTTCGCTTGTGAGAACGAAGTCGCAAAGTATTGATTGGCCTCGAGAATTAGAGCGAATGTATCTGCACCGATGTTTGGCTCATCGCAACCAAGCCAAACAAGTGTACGTTTCGCGTTGGCATACACCTCACCCATTCTCTTCACTTGATGTCCCTTCTCTTGATCATCTTTCTGATTGATGCACAAGGCATCCGCCCATAGTACTCGAGGCTCAGATGTGTGTCGGAAGTTTCGAAGAGCATCCGCGAGACTGGCAGTGACAGCTACTCGCAATCCATTACACTGCACGTCGACAGTGTCGTTTGGATCGCCCCAAACGTATGATATGGCTTCATATGAGCCCTTAGACTGTTCTATGTCGACAATCTCGAGACTGCAGTTGATGTCATGGTCGTTGTCGCCGGGTTGTAGTCTTAGTAGGCGTATGAACTCGCCCACCGGTAGTGGTTCGTAGATCGTGTGGTTCTGTCTTTCGTCGCATACTCTCGGTCGCTTGGTTTCACGGGGCGGAGAAAGAGACTCGACTCTGCGTTTTGACATGCCTCGATAGAATACTAGAAGGACTGGATGAGCTTGTAGAATTGTGATGTCGGCGGGAGGATGTAAGTTGGGGAGGAAGGCTGAGGGCTGTGCAAGAGCGCCAGCAAGGCAGCTACAAGCCACCCACATGCTGATTGGCGAGCCGCCGTGCGCGGATGTGGCCCCCAACACCCTCGATAAGGTATCGCTGGAACTCTGGCAGATCATTGTCGGCACCAGAGAGCACGCTAACTTGCTTGATGGGACGTCAACGGACACTTACTTTAAGCGAACATATAGATATATTAGACCTCTAAAGACCACTTGTGCCCCAGTAGTATCTAATGCCAAACAAAAGAAATACCCCCATACCATGTATATGCCTCCCAACCCAGCCGCGGAACCAACCAGTCCCGCGACATCAGATGCCGCCTAACCCAAGGAAAAGTGGTATGCTGTGGTATCATCCATATGCGAGCCCTCAAAACGCCATATAACACCCTTCCGATCCATCAAGCACACTGCTGATAGACCGCGTAGACCCGCTGTTTACGGGCAGGTCAAACTCCTCGTCCTCTTGCTATCGCCCAAGCCTAGTACTTCTCCCCTGACGTGCTTGGGCACCTGAGCTTTCGCCCAGCACTGCATGGCTACTCTGCGCATGAGCTCCACCTCCTCGTCGCGCAGCCTGAGCTGTCGCTTTGCCAGCTTGCTTTTCCTGAGCTTGACGCCCTTCTCCTGAACCGCTTGTCCGGATACCACGAAAGGCACCGTAGGATGTGTGAGCCCGCGCTTCGAGCCTGGGCGTTCGGTTGTAGGTGACGAGACGAGGGACTCGAGGTTCACGCACTCGGCGATGAGCGCTTGAATACCAGCGGAAAGTTGTGTTGCGCGCGAGAGGATGTAGCCCCATATCTCCGAGCCCTCCCAGAACGGGTCGTTTATAACGGCGTGTTGGAGCGCGGGGAGGATGTGCGGGAGGGGAGGCAGCGTTCTGTCTTCGATGTGCTGGGGTGGTTCTTCTTGCGTTGGTGTCGCGATGTTTGCTGTGCTAAGCAGACTTGCGGCAATGGTCAGGCGGATGTGGCTGTCGGTGCTGAGGGTTGCTGTTACGACGCATGCTGGGCAGCCCCGGGTGCGGCACCAGTCTGATTCTTCGGTTATGAAGCACTGCAGGCCGATGAATGCACTGCGGGATTCGCCCGAGAAGGCGAGTTCGAGATCAGAGGCGCGTTGTGTGCATAGCGCGGCGGAGGCTAGTGTTGATGCGCGGGAGAAGAGGGTTACGACGGGCATGATTAGTGCGTGGAGCATATCGCGGTGGAGTATGTAGGTTTGCTTCGCCTGAGGAGAACATTGCGTGTGTGTTGCGCAGAAACTGGCATACTTGTTAGTGATTGAGGTTTGCCGTGGAGCTGGGGGTGGATTGGCATGTGGAGGTGGAGAGAAGCGATACGAAGCGCGATAAGCTGCTCGCGACGGGGGAAGAGGAACAGGAACATGAACATACTCGGCATCACCAGCCAGATGCCTCCTCAGCGCGCAAAAGGCCTTTGACTCGCCCAGCGCCTCTACATCCTCATGTGGGATCATAAAAGGGCTCTCCATCGGCACAGCGTATCCGTAGTCCATCGTATCTCTCTGTCGGCGTGGCTATCTCGCTTCGCATCGGTATGCAGTCGGGCTATCTCGAGTCGAAAGGCAGACGAGAACGAACAAGCTTCTTCGCACGACGAGGCTAAAAAGCAAATAAGAGGGGGAAGAGCAAAGCGAGCAAGATGCCAGGGAAAGAAGGCTTCGAGGGTATTATCATTATTCCCTGCAACGGACGGCCGTTCCCTATTTCACCCCCCAAATGACGCGAACGAGCCTCCCTCATGCCCAGGAGCTCCACCCGCTGCTGCGCTGCCGGGGTGGAGACTGCTGTAGATCTAGACTTGCATATTGCGCACCCCCCTTTCCTTATCCGCCCACGCTTGTGCAGAGCCCGTATCCCACGACTGCTTTATGTAGCCAACTAGCTCGCGCCAGATGGCATCACCATCGGCCGGGAAGTGCTGCCTTTCGGATTCGGGCAGAAAACGCGGCGTGGGCGGTTAGTCCCCTGTTGAACATCAACAGCTTGCTTTTCTCCGCACTTCAGCGGCATCAACAACGAAGAAGCGGTGGAGCATTTATTTTGCGACCTTGTTAATTTGAGGGAAGCGAACTGCCTCCTGTATCTCATACAGCAGGTGTCCCCGCGCCTACGTACTTCTCTCCCTTTCCCCTAAACCAATTTGCGAGCATGATCTTCAATGATGCAAGCGCAGCTACACCGACCCGACCGCGCAGAGGCCGATCAACCCGAACATCGCGATCGAAACGAAAACGACGTCGTAGGTAGAGCGGTCGGTTGACAAGGACGACCCCGCTGAAACACGTTTCGATAAAGATAGTCGCTAGCCCAAGGGTTCGCGAGAGGCACTAGATGTCGCGACATTGTTAACTGCCGCACTATTGGAAGCGCGTAGCGGCCGACATCACCACCTCAGCTGCGCCATCTCTCGACTGCAGATGTCATGGACGCACCGCCTGTATCTCTATGCGAATGGTTCTTACACCTGCACTGCAAACTATTCGGCCCTGCGTCGCTGGCGATATCGCTCGGTTTATGAAATATGGAGCCGAATTACGCGTATCGCTTGCTGGTACCGCGGCCGTGAACAGGGTCCGTCCCGTCAACGTCGCAAC